TGGTCTATAATTTAAGGGTTGTTTTTCGCTTGTTTTTTCGACTTTTGATGATAATAAAATGGACAATAATAATAATAATAATAATTTTTTGGCCATCAAATTCATTCATTCTGCGCTGTTGTTGAGGTTTTGATCGTGTTTTGTCCAGAAAATCATAATGATGATTATATAATAATAATATTTTGGAGCAGGAAAAAAAACCATGAATGATATTTTTTTTCGCTTATTTCCAATTCCAAAAATTGGTGTGTTTGAAATGAAATCTTAGCTTTGCTTAGTTTTGTTAGTCAATTTGTTATGGACATTTAGATGAATTTTTTTTTTTTGCTTTTTTAGACCAGAAAAAAAGGTAAAATTTCATTGATAAAGATTCTTTTCTTTGGTTTGATGTCGATATTTTGAATGTAGTTTAAAAACTAATTTTTTGGTTGTTGTTGAATCGGGAGCATCCTTTTTTTTATCATTATAAAACAGATTGATTGTGTGTGTGTAGCTAATTAATAATCTTTTTTCCTTCCATACGGATATATATGGATGAATGAATAGATACACTATCTATTTAAAAAAGATGATTTGATGATGATAATTTTAAACATATTTTCTTGCTCTCTCTTTTTCAATGTATTAATGGCATTTTATCTTTAAAGATAAGATGTTTGTTTGTTTGTTTATTTATTTAGATTTTGGTATGATGTTTGGTTTGTTGATAACATACGTATGTATGTTATACAGAACATCATCAATCAATCAATCTTATTTCATTCATTCATTCATTCTTTTCATTAATATCAATATTCAAACATTTTTTTTTCTTCAAAAAAAAGATGTTTTTGATGAAACAAACAAAAAAATTGTAGATAATTTTTTTTTATTTAATAACTAACTTACAACGATTACCACTCCCCCTCAGTTTAATGTTATACAATCATATATCATGTAATGTTAATGATGATGATGATGATTTAGCCATTAAAAAGTGATAATTAATCTTTGAAAATGAATTTGATTTTGATTATTTCGGAGAGGGGGAAGGATGATGAAAGGGGAAAGGAAAATCAACCAATGATGTTTTTGTTGTTGAAATAGTATCATATTGGGTTGGAATAGTGTTAAATTTGTAGAAATTTTTTTTTATTTCATGTCAAAAAAAACAAAATTTATTTTTGGTAAATTTTGATAAACGTCGTTTGAAAATAGAATATGATGATGATGATGATGGTGATGATAATTAATGATGTTTAATTTGTGATTTTGAATCTTGATCTTTTTTTTCAGATGAAAAAAATCTATTTCTGAATTTCTTGACTTTAAAATGATGTTCACCATATATATATTTTTTTTCCAGATTCAAACGTAATCCAGTGAAGAAAATTCATAAAATCCGAATAATGATAATTAATTAATTTTCAATTCAATTTGGTCAAGCAAAACAAAAAAAAAGAAAAAGAAAAAAAGCTACCTGTGTTTTGTTTTTCAACTATATTTCCTTAGTCAAAAAAACTTCAAAAACCAAAAAAAAATCAAATATGATTATCGATGAAAAATGATAATCAATATAACCAATGATGATCAATGAATAGGAAGATCATCAATAATCGATATAACGACTAACTTTACGAACGAATGAGAATTCAATGAATATTTTATTTTATTTTTTTTCAATTTTTATTTTAAAAAAGAAAAAAAATCTTCCTATCATATTTCAAAACCGATAATGATGATGATCATCATAATCATCATCCTAAATCTGTACGATGTTAATGTTTCAAATAATCAAAAAAAAAGGAATGTTTGACCTTTTCTTACGTTGAACCTAACCAAAAAAAAAACCTGAACTTAACACTGGTCAACATTGAACAACAACAAAACAAAAAAAATAGCCAAAAAAAAACAGCAGCATTCATTATCACCATCATTATCGGGTTTTGTATTTCGAACAAACCAAAGATGTTGTTGTTGATGATGATGATTATTATTATTATAGTGTTTTGACCACATCTACACAACCAATTCACAACTATCATCATCATCATCATAATCATTATTCAGGTCTATTTTGATGATGATGGAAAAAATTCGTGAATATTTTTTTTTCTTTTTATTCGTTCAACTTGTTGTTTGAATTTAAAGATGATAATTGAATTATTTTTTGTTCAAATCTCCTCATTATTCAATGAGAAAAAAATGATGTACAAAATTCAAACCGAATAAATGATGATGATAATGTTTACAGATTGATTAATTGTGTTTGTTGTGTGATAATTTTTTTTTTTTTTTTGAAAGAATTTTCCGAACAGAATTTCCGGTATCATTATCATTATTTGTTGAATTTGAATTTCCTTTTGTTTTGTTTTTTATTCCGATCAAATCTCTCGATGCATGCATGCATGGATGCTTTTGCTTAGTTTTTCTAAGGTTTTTTTATACGATGTTCAAAGGTGAAAAATTTATTTCATTTTCATTCAAACATTATTATCAATGAATCATGAATGTGAATAGTGTATATGTCCGGATACAGTGAATAAATTCTTTTATCATTGAACACAAAGATAGAAATAAATAATATGACTTTCACCTCTCTCTCTCATGATCTACACATTTATTTTCCACCCAAAAAAACATTATTTCAATCAGAAACATCACATCATTTTCGATTTTCTTTTTCTGAAAAAAAAATTATTATCGTACACTATGTTCATGTCTATGTCTGTTTTTTTTGTTTCGTTCTGTAGAATGAATAAAAAAAAAATTCCTTGACTTTCGCTTCCCCCCTCATTCCCCTCTCGACAGTAAATATCAAAAAAAAGGTCGGGTCTTTGCATATAGGATATTTCTTTGTTTGGCCATTCTTTCTCTCTCTCTCTGACCGATAATTATCATTTGAAAAAAAACGCGTATAGCAATGAATTCAATTCAATTGAATGAATGAATGAAAATGGAAATGGCAAACGACGACTATGATCACTATGACGACTATCCACCATCCATCCATACACACACACAATCATATAATCATTATCAATTTTTTGGGTAAATATTCCAATCTATCTAATAAATCAACAGCATTTATTTTTTTAAAACATTTGGGTTCCAGTCAAACAACCAACAAAAACCAACCAAACCAAAATTCATTGTGCTTTATGAATAAAGGTAGTGGTGATTTGTTATTTTTTTTGTTGATGGCATGTTTTTTCTTTCGGTGTATATTTGGATTTTTTTTTTATTCTTGGTGCTCAAATTTTTTTCCCTCTTTTTCTCTCCACCAAAGAATTTATTTGACCTTATGGCATTTCAGCATTCAACCTATGGGCCTTTTTTCGGTCATTATTACGATCATTTAATGATGACCATGAAAAAATTTCTTTTTGGATGAAAATTTTCACACATTTTTTTTTCGTCAGCAAAAAAAACCCAAAACAAAACAAAAAAATTCATTATGTAATCCTCATTCACTTTATTATCAAGTGGTCATCATCATCATCTTGACAATCTAATATCCTGTACACCTAAATCTACTTTTGGTCAGAAAAAAGTTTTCATCATTATCATCATTTTTTTCTCCGGCTTTTTCCATCATCATATCATTATTATTTGTTTGACTAAATTAGTTGTTGTTGCTGATTTTCAACTATTTTCTTTCTCTCTCACTGTTTCGGCGAAGAAATACAAAAATCAAGAATTTTTTTTCCCCAAAAATTTTACGAAAACGATGAAACGAAACGAAAAAAAAGGTGAAACTTTCGACAGCAAAACAAAAAAAAAACAAACGGCTTTCGGCAACAGACCAAAAAAACAGGTATTTTTTCTGTTGTTGTTGTTGTTGTTGTTTAGTCAGTCAGATGGATTTACCTGTAAAAATATGATGATGATGATGATGATGATGAGAGACTAAATTCAAAACTACTACTTTTACCACCATCAGATAGATTGTGGTTGAGAGAAAATCTGAATCATTCATTCATTTTTGCGATTTATCTTGTTCATAGTGATTGGTTTTGCCGATGGAATTACACACACACACACACAGAGAAAAGAAAGAAAGAAAGAAAAAATTCATAAAAATTTTTTTTTCCATTTCTACTTGCTAACAGGTTGTTTGCCTGCAACAAGAAATCCATTTTTTTTTGTTGACTGTTTTCGTTTCGTTTTGTTTCGTTTCATTGAACACATCTTTTGAGTCATTCATTTCATTTTACTAATTCCATTCTTGAGCATATCCATGGTATGTATGCGTGTGTGTAGGATGTATATTCAATGGCAATGATGATGATCATCATCATCGCATAGAGTTTCTCTTTCAACAAGCTTATTATTTGGTCAATTTTCTTTCTTGTATGTGTGTGTGTGTGAATCTTCTTCTTCATCATTTGATTGTTGCTGTTGCTATGATTATGATAAGGATGTTTATATCAGAATTTTTTTCGTTCGTTTGTTTGTTTGGTTTTGTCTTTAATTAAAACGGAAAATTAATTAATTAATTAATTAATTTCTTTGGAGCGAAAAAAAAAGTAAAAAAAGATTGTTTTTCATTTTGAATCTAGGCATCTTTTTTTGTTGTTTGACCTTTTTCCAATAATGATGATGATTATTTTCTTGCATGACATTTGAACTTTTTCAATGGATTCAATGACGTGATCGTTTTTATTATTATTATTATTATTATTTTGTTATCGTCATTCTTACCGTCATTCATCGAATGATCACAATAGATTCGATTTGATTGATTGATTGATTGACTTTTTGAATTGAATAATTCATAAAGAGACATTTTTTTTGAATTGTCATCGTATGTGCAACCTTATGTGTTTCTATGTGTGTTCCGTGTATTCAGTGTGTGTGTTTGTTGCAAAGTTCAATTGATCCGCGATTGTTTTTTTAATTTTTCATTATGATTTTGTTCTAATCATCATCATCATTGTTTTGTTTTGTTTTGTTTGATAGATTGGTTATCTAAATGATTGACGACCTGAAAAAAAACTATTATCATCATCATCATCATCAAAAACAATTGAATAATCAACTATAGTGTGCATATTCATTCATTCATTGATGATATTTATCACTATCACTATCGATCTGGTTTTTTGGATTTGATTGAAAGATCATTGACAATTTTCTCTCAGGCCAATAGCAGCCAAACATTTTTAAAAAAATCTCAACAACAATGTATTATTATACATCAAATAATCATTATCATCATTTAAAAATGGCTAAATCAATATTATTCATAATAATAATTATAATGATTATTATACAATTAATTAATGGACAACAAAATCCAACAATATCATTTATAACAAAAGAACGTGTTACAAGTATTGGTGATACATTAGATCTTTCTTGTTCAGTGCAATATGCAAAAAATTATCCAGTTATATGGGCAAAAATTGATCAATTTAATCCAAATAAAATTTTATTTATATCAAAAGGTGCATCATTAAGTGTACCAGATCATCGTTATTCAATTAGACATGATGATGCATCATCTACTTATACATTACAAATATCAAAAATACAAGAAATTGATGCCGGTATTTATCAATGTCAAGTTGTTATATCACCATCATCAAGAGTTACAGCAAGTAAGTTATTTTTTTTTGTTAAGTTATCAAATTTTCAATATTCAATATTAATCATTTTGTTTTGTTTTGTTATTAATTTAATTTAGATGTAAATGTTTATGTACGAATACCACCGGTAATTAGTGATAATAGTACACGTAATATGATAACATCAACAGGTGAATCAATACAATTAGAATGTTATGCATTTGGTTATCCACAACCAAGTATTAGTTGGCGTCGTGAAAATAATGATCTATTACCAACTGGTGGATCATTATATAAAGGAAATATATTAATTATACATAATATTACTAAAGCTGATCGTGGTACATATTATTGTATTGCTGATAATAATGTTGGTTCGGGTGCAAGAAGAAATGTTGTTGTTGAAGTAGAATTTCCACCAAGTGTACATGTTGAACGACCACGTTATGATCAAGCAATTAATTTTGATATTAATCTACAATGTAGTGTTGAAAGTTATCCACCACCAACAATACGTTGGTTAAAAGATGGTATTGAAATACAGGATTCATCACATTATCAAATGTCAATATTTACAACATCACATGATTATACTGATTCAGTATTAAGAATTAAAAATATTCAACAACAACATTATGGTCAATATATTTGTCATGCAACAAATAAACTTGGTTCAAGTCAACAATTAATTGAATTATTTGAATCAGTAACACCTGTTTGTCCACCAGCTTGTAATGGTAATTTTGCTAGTTTTGGTTATTCATTTGCAACATCAACAATCAATTATTATCAATCAACAATATTATGGCTATTTTCATCTATTATTATTTTAATTGTATCGTTTTGTTCAACAATACGGCAATAATCAAATCAAATCAAATCAAAACATTTCAATCAATCAATTAATATTAACCATTATAAATATTTATCTAATAATAAAGTCATCATCAACAGTCATTGAAAGCCATATATTAATATATATATTTTGTTCACACAAATATACACCATAAGCCATACAGATCATCAGAAAAATCAAACTTACATAATCTTTTTAAAAAAAAATAATTTTGTTTTGTATAAATATTTAATCCATAAAATCCACTAAACAATTATAGAAAATGATAAATTTAAAAAGAAACATTTACATCATTCATTCATTTTTTTATAATAAACAAAATATATTGTAATTTTCTTTTCTTTTTGATTCAATCGAGCTCGAAAAATAAATTATTTAATCATTTTTGTCGATAATATTGTCGTCGTATAGATTGATGATGATGATGATTATGTTGTTTTTGTTGACCATTTTGTTTACCAAATGAACATTTACGTAAATGTTGTTTATGTTTTCGTATACGAAATTTATTACGTTTACGTTTACGTTGTTGTCGTAGTCGTCTTCGTCGTCGTTGTTGTTGTTGTTGTTGTTGATGTAAATTTTTAATCATTATTTTCTCATCATTATCATCATCATCATCATCATTATTGTGACCATGATTATTATTATCATCATCATTATTATTATCAGTGATATAAAATGAATTTTTTCTATTTGATTCAAAATTCATCTTTAATAATTGAAATTTTTGTTGTAATAATTTTAAATCATCATCATTTTGATCGTTGATATTAATCATATGAATTTGATTGACAATTTCATCATGATCATCATGATCATCATCAACAACAACAACATTGACCAATTTCATTTCAACAAAAAGAATTTTTCATTGTCAACATTTTTCGTAACCAAAATATTGAAGAAGAAAAAAACATTGAGCCAGAATCATTTTGATGACTATTTCGACATAACTATTTTTTTCGAATATTCGCGCTTATTCAATTATAGATCAAATAAGATTAAAATAGCCATTTTAATGGAAGAAAAAAAAACCAAACAAAACTTTTTTAGAAATTGATAAAAAAAACAAATCTTATATCTTCAAGAAACTAACGAGAATTTCTTTATCAAAAAATCATTTTATTTTTGAATAAAAAAATAAAATTTCAAAACAATTTTTTCGTTTTTATATAGATGATGATAATGGAAGAATACATATAAATAATATGCGCACGTGTATTACGTCAATGTTATGGTTGGATATAAATTTTTTTCCAAGTTCTGTTTAAAGCACAAAATACAACTATATACAACAATTTGAGTGAAACAAACCAAACCAAAGGAAAAAAAGAAAGATGTCAACCTGAATCCAACCAAAGTGGAATAGAAGGCATTGTTTTTGGATTTTTTTTGGTGAATGTCTTCCTGAAATTTTTTTTTGTTTTGGTTTTTTTATTCTAAATGGAATCATCATCATCATCATCAACATCATCATCATCATCGATAACTGTAACATCACCACCACCATCTACACCTACACCAGCATCATCATCATCATCATCAGCATCATATTCAAATGGTAATGTTGTTGTTAATGATGATGATGAAGAATTTGTGATCAAAACACAAAAACTTACTATTAATGGTCAAGGATTTATGATACAACAACTACAATCACAATCACAAGGATCATCATTATCGATTGAAAATTATTTTACAAAAATTATTGATAATCTTTATTTAACATCAGCTAAATATATGATTGATGATTATCTATTAAATTATAATATTACACATATTGTTAATGCAACACGTACAGTACCATTAAAACGTAATTATCGTACTTATCGTGTTAATGTAAGTTTGTTTGTTTTTGATCATTATTATCATTATTATATTAATAATATTTTTCCTCGTATTGATTCTGTGTCTCTCCTAAAGATTGTTGATTCAACATATGAAAATATTGGTGCACATTTTGATTCGGTTAGTGAATTTATACAAAATGCAATCGAAAATGAAAATGGTATCGTTGTTGTACATTGTATTTCGGGTATTAGTCGTTCATCAACATTAATTATTGGTTTGTTTTTTTTTTGGTTTTTGATTCAATAATAATGTTAATCAAATTTCTAATTTGTTTGATTTTTTTCCCTTATCAGCCTATCTAATGAAATATAAAAACATGTCGTTAAAAGATGCATTTGATTTTGTTCGTTCAAAACGTTGGTTTATTCGACCAAATACCGGATTCTTTCAGCAATTAATCGGTTTGTTTGTTTTTTTTCAATGACTCAATGTTAATTTAATCCAAAATTGTTTTGGTTTCTAGATTATGAATTAAAATTATATGGAACAAATACAGTAAAAATGATTTATCATGAAACCGGTGGTTATATACCTGATTTTATACTTGAAGAAAATACAAAATATAAATATTTTTATCTTTGTATTAAAAAATGATATTCAAACAAAACATTCAAACGAATTCTACATTCTACCTTAGCCTGATTCTGTCACTCATGCATACACACGAATTCATTTGTTTGCCTACCTGAGACACGCATCGATAAACACATTCACACGCACACATCAACATTATAAGTTTGATATAAGAATAGGATCATCATTTTTTTTTTGAAATTTGATTTAATCAATTGATTGATTTTTTCAATATTTAAATTAATTTATTAAAAATTTTCTTTTTGAATTTGTTAATTTGAATATTGTCCAAAAGATGGCGATTAATTGCTCGTGAATCAATGGGAAAAATTCAAAATTATCATTCATTATCCATTGAACTAATTGTTGTCGCATAAGTTATTGATTGTTGTTGTTGTTGTTTATCAATGACATTCATATCTTTGTCCGAATCTTTTGTTTGTTTAATAACATAAGCAGTTGATGATGTTGATGATGATGATGATGATTTTTTATTTGTAAAAAAATGTCCAAAAATTAATCGTTTATATGCTTGACGATAACGTTGATTCATAGCAAAATAAATAAATGGATTAATACAGGAATTCATCCATGCAAATATTGATGCAATTACATGAAAATATGGATATCTTTAAATGATGATAAACAGAAAAATAAAATTCATTTTCATAATCAAATTCAATTTTAATTATATTTACCGATCATCTGGTATGAATACATTTCCAATAAATAATGGTAAAAAACAGGCAAGAAATGCTCCAAATACAATACATATTAATAATGTAAGCCGTATATCACGATTTGATGTTTGATTGGTTATCATCATTGTTTTTGTTGTTGTTGTTGTACGATTAGTTTGATTATTAAATAATAGATGATGATTATGTTGACGACGTTGTCTACGTATATGAAATAATATCATACCATAACAATAAACAATAGTGATCATTGGTAAAAAGAAACCTAATATGAATAGGAATTTTTTCGGTGAACGATTTTGTTTATCACGTAATATTGTACAGGAAAATGTATTTGATTGATAACCAGTACGACCATATAAACCAAAAACCGGTATCGATACCAATGTATAAGAAAATAACCAACAAAATATAATCATTATGATTACATTTCGTCGATTATAAATTCTACAATAATGATTATTAAATGCAATCAATACAAATCTATGATTGTACAGAATAATTCCAAAAGAAATGAAAATTCTGTTTAATATTGATTATTTAGCTACATTTTTTTTGTTTGATACATACCGGTTGATTGTAATAGCCGTTATTAACATTAAAGATGTAGCAACAGTACCATAATAAAATAATGGATATAATTGACATAATAATTTACCAAATGGCCATGATCTTGTTAAATAACGACCAGATTGTAATGGCATTATTAATAATGAAAATATTAAATCAGTAATTGCTAAATTAATAACAAACATTGTTGTCATTGAATGATTATTTAAACAACGATTTGATTGTTTATTTGTTAATGCTGTTATTGTAATTAGATTACCAATAATACCGATTAAACAGATTATAATTGCAGCTAAAAAACCAATCATTGCTGCACCTTCAGGTATATCAATTATTATTTCATTTTTATTATCATCATTATTATTCTGTAAATAGAAACACAGATTCTTGAAAATTAATTAAACAAAAATTATTGAATTTTTTTTTTAATACAAACATTGTTGAATGAATGATTCATCATCATCATCATTGTTGTTGTTGTCGTTAGATTTGAAAACATCGTTATTCAAAAAAATGGAAACAATTTTTGTATTGAATGGAAACAAAAATCGATTGAAAAGATGAGAAAGAAAGAAGGAATGAAAAACTCTTTATTTAAAAAATGAAGAAATCGGTCCAAAAACAAATTCAATCGATTTTCTTTTCACAATTTTTTTATTCAAATTATAAATTGAAAATAAAAAAACAAATTTTCAAATGTTTTTTCTGTTGTTGTTGTTGATGATCAGCATTTGTTGTCACATTCTGATGACAAACAAACAAAGAAAGAATGGATTCTATTGTCGATTGAAATACACATCAATAAAATAAAGATTTTTTCTGGTTTTGTTTTGCCCGTTTTTTTTTAGAAAAAAAAATTCTGGTTGAGCTAAAGATAATTTTCCAAATTGAATTTCGTTGAAAAAGCTTATGACTTTGATGTATGCATAAATGATGATGATAATGACAACTGGAATACAAAAAACAAAAATAAATTGGCCTACTATATGAACAAGATTGAATTGAAATGAATGAATACTGTTCATAAACAAAAAACATACTACTTTATGCTGGATTAATTTAGATTTAAACTTTTTTTTGTTGTTGTTGTTAATTTCATTGAAAAAAATAACGTCAAAAACATAAATGTTTTTGATTATATAATAGTTGTGAATGGTCAATGCACCAAAATAGTAAATGTAAATAATAATGATAATAAAATGGATTTAAACATATAAGCAATATCCGGTGTTTGGATTCGAAATGAATTTTATTTAAAATCGATAAACAAAACAACATGATTTGACCTTTATTGATTGGATTTCTGGTTTTCAAATATATCACCAAAAATAAAAATAATAAAAATTTCTTTTTATAAATTTAAATTTCCAAACAAAAAATATCATCATTCCGGAACTAATATTGAGAAAAAAATTTTTGCTGCCGGTTTGCCTGTTTGCCGGTTTTGGTTGTTCAATATCCTCTCTCTCTCTCTATAGATTTGCAATATTTAGTTGGGTCATTAGGATGGTGATGATGGCATTATCTTCGTCACCATCACCATTTGTTAAAAGATTGAATTCTTTTGTCAAAAAAAAAAATATCTGATCAAAGATAATGATTATTATTATTATTGATGATGATCGATGATCGATTGTATTCAGTATTTTTTGCATCATAAATTGATTCAGCATAAATAAATCCATTATAAATGATGATATAAAAAAGTATCGATAATATCGATATGTTGATGATCATAATGATAATAATCGATTGATAATGAATTTTTCTTTCATTCATTATTGCCATCCATATATTGAAATGATCATCATCGTCAATAGCATCATCATTGAGATTTATAAATGATTATTATATAATCTTGATATAGGAAATCTATTCGATTTATCATCATCATAATCATCATCAAGATGATAATACTCGAGATGGTTCTCAAGATATTTTATTGATCTATTATTTTTTGTTGTTGTTTGGTTGAATTAGAAAACATTATAAATCCGAAATCCTTTTACAAACAATTTTTTTTTCTCCGTTAATTAATTTAATTTATTTAAATTTTTAATTTTAAAATATCAACAATGAAGAAAGAAACAACAGAAAAGGAAAATAATAATAATTAATACATTATTATAACATTGATAAATATATATTCGAGGCAGATAATTTCTCAGTGTATGTGTGTGTGTTTACGAAGATGTTCAACAACAACAAAACAAAACAAAACAAAACAAAAAAAAGTGATGAAAAATATAATAACAATATATCTTTTTTAAAGGGGTGGATGGAGGGCTAAACATATAAATAAAATGATATCAAATTACAAATTATTATTTTTTTTTTGTTGATGATTGTTATTTGTAATACTAAAAATTTGTGTGTGTGTGTGTGCAGTGTTTGTGTGTGTGTGTGTGTAAAACAAAAACAGGAAAAAATGTTTCCGGAAAAAACTGAATTGTCATTTCAAATATTGATTGATTTATTTATTTATTACAAAGAAGTGAGAATTTTTTTTTATTTATATATATAAATATAGCCAGAAATGTGTATATTGTCGGTATTAATCGATCTATCGATCGATTGATCGATACATTTTCAATCATAAGATTAATATTGTCGTTGTTGTTGTTATGGATGCCTGCAAGCAATCAAATGATTTTTGATCAAATATTTTTTTTTTGTTGTTGTTGTTGTTTCTAAATAGATAATATTTATGCAAACTTGAACATTATCAATTTCTTTTTGATTTGAAATTATTCAATTCTTATTTCAAAAAAACAAAGACAGATTGAAAATGATTGTTTTGTTGTTTGTTACACACACACATAACAAGATTGTCAACTATTGGTCCCCTTGATTGAATCTAGAATTTAAAAAAAAAATCTGATTTAATTTTACAATACAATCAGATAGAGAGAGATAATAATGTTTTATAATGATAATTACTGTGTACTGAATGAATCTGATTCATCTGATAAGATGATGATGATGATGATATTGTGGTAATGTTAATAATAATAAGATGATAAATAAATAAATAAATAAATGGTTTTGTTTAAACATAATTTGATGGAACACCACCACCACCACTATTATAACGATTATAATTAACAACAGATGAATTACAACCAACGTTTGGAACATATGAACGACGATGTTGTTGTTGTTGTTGTTGATCATAAAGATAATTATTAAAATCATTTGTTGATAATGTTGTTTCAATTGCTGATGATGATGATGGATTTGTTGCACATGATAATATTGTTGCAATTTGATGTCTAGTACGTCTTGATGTAAAATAAACGCCAATAATCCATAATAGATCACCTAATGCAGCAATTAATAATAACATACATGTTTGTTCTAATAATGTTGCTAGCTCTTCACTTTGATCACCACTTAAACTAACTAAAAATCTTATTACAGCAATTAATATGATTAATACTAATAATATAAATAATGTTATTAATAAACATTTTATATTTGGCCTTGGTATAAGAAAGTCACAACATAATAATAATGAATCATTTTCTTGATCACCACCATATCCACCTCCATAATAATTATTCATCATCATCATTGATGTTGGATCATTACCATATCCACCTCCACCACCACCTCCCATTCCTCCATATCTTCCAGCTGATGATGATGATTGAGCAGCATATGAACGACTAAACATTTGATTAGCCATTGAATCGGGCATCACATTTGGCAATAAATTTGTTGAACCAGTATCACCTGGTGGTGTTGCATCTTTCATATATTCACCAGTAATAGGATCATATGGATAATATAATTTTCTATAATAATCAGCATATGGATTGGCTGCATCAATTCCATATGGACCGGTTTGACCATATGGATTTTTTGCTGTTGTTGTTGGTTTCAGATTAAGATTTGGTGGCGGATATGATGGTTTTATCGGTGGGGGTGGCTGTGGCTGTGCTATTGCTACTGGTAATGGCTGTGTTTGTGGCTGTAATACTGCAGGTGGCTGTTGTTGTTGATGATATGAACGATCTGGATACGCTGATGATGATGATGATGATAAATATGGCTGTGGATTATTATTACTTGTATAATCATATGTTGTTGGACGATTACTACTTCCGCCAGGTGGATAACCATTTTGATAAGAATGATCATATTGTTGTTGTTGTTGTATTGGATCATTATAAGATTGATGATGTTGTTGTTGTTGAGAATAATATGGTGGATGATTATGTTGAGCTGATATTTGTTGTTGTTGTTGATGATAATCATTACCATAATGTTGTTGTTGTTGTTGTGGAATTGAAGGTGGATAATTTGAATAACCACTACCACCACCCCCATATTCCGGTGGATATGATGAATATAAATTTCGTTGATGCATTTTTTTTGTTTGGTTTTCACAATTCAATTAACTAATTTATTTAAAACCAAAAAAAAAACAAAACAACAACAAACCAAATCTAAATCACAAATAGCTCTAACGGTTATTTATTTATCTATATAGTGATAGAAAAAAAGTGGCATTTTTTTTTCTTGAAACACGAAAATTAAAGCTCGCTGAAAGAAATGATCATCACAAACAAACAAACAAATTTTCATTCATTTTTTTTTTGGTCCAAAAACAATGAAACAAAAATTATTGTTTTTTTTTATTCTGCACACATAAACATTCTATCTATATATAGAATGAAGACAGAGATTTAAAAAGTTTTCAAAATTTTAATTTTCAATTTTTTTTATTCATTGTTTGATTTTTGAAAATCTTCATTTTCTATATCAGAAAAGTTTTAAGTTTGTAATTGAAAAAGAGAGAGAAAAAAAAATTGATAACAAACCAAAACAATGAATTAAAAGTAGATAGAAAGTTGATCCAAATAAAAAAAAAACCCAATTTAAATGAATGATTTTTTTCCGTTGTTGTTGTTGTTGTTGTTATTGAAGGAAAAAAAACTGAGGAAAAACAAGAATTACAGAATATTCTTGTTCTTCCAAATAAAAAAACAAACTATTATTGAATATACCACTAACACACACACACACACACACACTAACCAGACACCTTATTCTTATTCACCATCCCATTACTATAGATAGTCTGGTTTGGCATACGATAGAATATAGAAGTAGCCAAAATTCATTCATTCTATTCTAGTTTGTACAAAACAACCCAAAAACAGAGGAGAATAATAATAATAATAAGATCTATACCGATGTTTATATGTTTTTTTTTTATTTTTGTTATCATCATCAGTTTTTTTTATTCTCCTATTGGGTTATTATTATCATTATCAATTGTATGATGTGAAGAGGATCATCGGAATTGAGTGTGTGTGTGTATGTATGTGAGAGAGAGATCACAGAGAATCATTGAATTTGGATTGGATTTTGAACACTGGAAGAGAGAGAAAGAAAAAAAAATATTCAATGAAAGAAACAACAAAGAATCTTGATGACACCAAACACATATCATTATATATATGATGTGTGTTTAGGAATAAACCACTATCATTTATATAGGAAAATAAAATTCTGGTTGTTTTGGGTTGATTCTATGAATCCATAGAATTTCTAGGCAAAATTTGAAAAATATATACAGTGTGCGTGTGTATTGATTTTTTTTTTGAACTAACCAGAATATATGAAATTCTATTGATGTCTGTCCTTTTTGCGCCCTATATGCAATTTCATTGGGTCCCGATTTTTTCTTTTTTTTTGATGTTTTTGTTTCATTTGTTTGTTTCATTCTAATTCTATGCTTCGAATGTCTTTTCTCTTTAATTTAATGTTGGATTAATTAATTGAAGAAACAAAAGAAAAAACAATGTTTCTTTTTTTCTTCTTATGGATTAATTAGGAAAGAAACAAAAATAGGTGTGAAGGATTTATTTGATTCGATTCGATTGATTTCGAAAAATTCTCGAACGAATCGATCGATAATCATGAGAAATATCGTTGTGTCTATAGAGCTATACAAAGATGAATAAAAGTGACAAATAATTTATTCTTTCGTTCGTTTGCTGCTGCTACCACGCAAAAAAAAAATATAGATGACATTCTCAATTCTTTAAAAAGATTTTTGTCATTTTAATAAAATTTAAAATTTATTTTATTTTTTTATTTGCTAAAATGATAAATTATCTTATTTTATTCTGATCAATCCAATTTAAATTAATGCTTTTTTATTCATTTTGAAATACAAAAAGCTATGGCAACTTAATCGTACCGCATAACTGTGGAAATAGTTTTTATATGAGCATGCTGCTCGTTTTTTCGAATTCACACACAAAAGCCACGTGTGTGTGTTCTATTGTATGTTCGGCATTGACTGTATTGAAATTGAAATCGAAGTAACAAATTGTTTCAAACATGAATCAATTTAATATCGAAGATTTTGATGTTGAAACAGAAATTGATAGTGATAATGAAAATGTGGTCAAAGATAAAAATGATGGTCATGATTCAATGGTAAAAGAAGTATCGAAAAAAATTGGTGGTAAAAAACGTGGTGATGATCGACAACCTCAATGGAAATCCGATCGTGCCGAAGTACGAACAGATATTGATGAACATGGTATTAGCAAGAATAAAAAATCTAAACTTGATGTTGAAGAATTATTGGATGTCGATGATGAACAAGCGAAGATTTTGCGAAAGAAATTGCGTCAAAGTTTACGAAAGAAAAAAGCTTTGTATGATTCATTATCTAATCCGATTACTGAACGTATTCATCGTGAAATAAATTACAAAGATCTTAAGGAATCGGTAAAAAAATATGATGAACCAGTTAAACAATTGCGAAATGCTGATCAAGTAGTTTTTCCGGCTGAAGATCGTCAACTGGCTGTTGATACATCAGCACAGAAAAAATTTTTGCAACCTGGAACATCAACAGATTCTGAAACTGTTGGCAAATTGATTAGCCGTATTGAGAAAGAAATTGCTGAAAATCTTGCCGATTCTGGTGATGTAAATGATGGCTCACATGAAACATATCATTCGGTAAATATTTTGTTGTTGGTTTTTTGTACAGGATTTTTAATCTAATTTTGTCTCTTTGATTGATAAGTTTTTGAACCAAAACGAACTTGAATTATTGCGAACATTGGATATGGAAGAGGCCCGTAAGTTGCACAAAGAAATGCAACGATTGCGTGTTCTGATTAGTTATCAAGAGGCTCGTTATCGACGATTGCGTAAGATTAAATCAAAAAATTATCATCGTTTGAAGAAAAAAGATCGATTGAAAAAAGCAGAAGAAGAATTTTATGATCTTGTTGCCAAGGATGCGGAAAAAGCTTACGAGAAAATGGAAGAAATGGATCGATTGCGTGCACACGAACGTGCTACTTTGAAACATTCGAATACAGGTAAATGGGCAAAACGTCAGCTTCTTCGTTCGAAATTCAAACAAACACGAGATAATCTTGATGAACAGCTTAAAACTCATAATTTATTAATGCTTAAACAATCCAACTCGTTGAGCCCTATGGAGTTATGGAAACAAAATGATGAACAAAGTTTCAGTGAACGTTATTCGACACTATTGGAGCTTCCATTACATAAAAATAAGCAGCTAAATAGTTATAATCCATGGTCATCGAAATTGATTCAAGAATCTTCGAATGCAACTTTTACTATTACCGAACAACAGTTTTCTTCGGTTAAAGATAAAGATAAAGATGAAGGTACAGTTAAAGATGACCGTATTGGTAAAGTGGAACGTTGGATTGCAACATTGTCAACAAAAGATTCGGCTAGAAAAATTAATCTTGAAAAATCTTTTACTGATAAAAATATTGAAGTAATCAATTTGGATGATGATGATAATGATGATGAATTCAATGATAATATTGATCTGGCTAAACAATCGAAACAATTGCAACAAGTATTTGGTGATGATAATGTTGTTGAAGATTTTTTGAAAATAGAACAACAATCATCTTTAAAGAAAAAATCTTCAGATAAATATCCGAAATGGCCAACAATGAAATGGACAGGTCATGGCATTAATGTAAAAATGAATTCTAAAAAGCCTAAAACATCCAAACCAATGATCGATAAAGCAATTTTTATTGATCCGAAAAAACAATCAAAAACAGCAGCAGCAGTCCAACAAAAACTTATGATAGATAAAGCTTGTCAAGCAATATTTATTGATCCGGATAAACAATTACAAACAGCTGCCAAATATCAAGGTCATTTGACAGTCAAACAAAGTGGACAATTGATTCGTCCACATGGATCGATTTGGAATCCACAAACACTTGCTCGAACATTTTCTGAACCAACTGTTATTACACGACCGGGACAGGTTATTGAACCAATGCAATCACTTCGTGCTAATAGTGATCAGCCTGTTAATCTTTCGATTCAAAAACCTTCATCTAAAATTCAAAAACAACAGAAAAAACGACGACCATTATCGAAAATGTGAAAACGAAAAATGGTGAAGACAGAGAAAAATCTTTTTTTATAAAAATGATTGATTTTTGAATTTTGAGCTTTAAGTTTTGAATTTTTAAAATATTTAATGATTATAATAATAATATAATTGTAATTTGATGATAATAAAGAATATTTATTAAAATCGAAAAAAAAGAGAGATCTGAATAATCGCAGGGGTTCAATTTATTCACCGGGTTTGTTGTTGTTGTTGTTGTGTATGGTGATTTTGTTCCAAATCGGGATAAATATGATTCTTGTCAACAAAAAAAAAACGAAAAAGAAAAGGATCAGTTCCAAATTAATGGGAAATGTATTGAATCAACATCGGGTATCACAAGTTAAATTTTTTTTTCTGAAATGACATTTGGATTTGTGTACAGGTTGTGTGTAGGTGGTGGTTGTTGATTGGTGGTGTGTAAGCATAATTTTTTTTGAATCATCATTGAATAAACATCACATGATTTGAGTAAAATCACTTTCTTCAAATGTGGACTGTGTGTGGTGGTTATGAACAATATATATATAAATTCATAACATCTTGGCATTTTTGTTGTTGTTGTTTTAATTGATTTTGTTTTTTTTTTCATTTCTCAAATTAATTAAATTAATCAATTAATAAGCTATGTAAATGATGAATGAATGGTGATGATGATGACGATGATGATGATGATCTGAATGAATGAATGAATTTGGTGGGTATGTTTGTCATGGCATCAATTTTGAAAGCGGTAAAAAAATCTGTATTGATTGATGTGGATAAACCAAGAAAATCCTAAAAATGGATTTGTTTTTGTGTAATCAAATCAATTTGAAATAACAAATAATTATCACAATTGTTCATTGTGAGCGTCTGTTTTTTTTTCTCAATAATCTCTTTTTTTTGTATCATCATAATAATCTGATTGATGAATTGGTTGATCTGGTTTAGTTTTGAATATATATAATTTTTTTTTCGTTTTCGATTTCATCGATAATAAACGAGTGTTTTTTATCTATAACATTTTAACACGATGTTTGACAAAAAATATTTGAGAACGAAATGAAACAACAAAAAAAACATTAGCAATATGGATTGCCGGGAAAAATTAAAAAAAAAATTAAACGCAACGATTTTTTCAAAAAAAATGAAATGAAATGATGAGAAAGAATTTCGGGTTTTTTTCTGTTTGTTTGTTATTATTGTTGTCCATAATTAAACGACTAGTGTTGTTATTTTTTTCATCAGTTTTGGATCAGTCAATCAATCAGTGATTGATTTACATTTTATTGATCCAATCGATTTGATGAATGGTTTGGATTTGTTTTGTTGTTGAGAAATATGAATTTGACATTGGCACTAGGATTTTTTTCATTCAAAATTCATTAAATATTGATAATTGAATTGATTTTCGAAACAACAATCGATTTGTTATTATTGTTTGTTGTTGATTGATCTTTGGTCAAATTAATTGGTACATTATTATTATTATTATTAGTTGGATTGGTTGTTGCTGTTGTTGTTGACATATTAATAACATCATCTAAATGATTTTGTTCAGATTTTTTTAATGTTGTTGATAATTTTCGTTGTTGATTATTATTATTATTATTGATTCCATTCATCAATCCATTTGAAATTGATGGAAATAAATGCGTTCCCATTTCATTTGATAAATGATGATTTAAATTTGGATTTGGATTGTGCGAATGATAATGATGTGATGATGATGATGATGATGATGGTGGCCATTCATAACAATTATTTCTATCCATCATCATCATTTTAGCTGCTGTTGTTGTTGTTGATGATGATGATGATGATTGCGAATTTGAATCCAATTTTAATGAATTTGGTGATGGTAATATTTGGCTATGATTATTATTCGTATTAGATGCAGCATGAACAGCAGCTAATTGTTGTGACCATAATGATGAATAATATGATGACCATTGTTGTTGTTGTTGATTTGATGATAATGGTAATGGTGAATGGGAATGACATGTTTGAATTGAATAATGATGATCATAATTATGATGATGATGACTATCACCACCACCACCACCACCGATCAAATATGGTCGAATCATAGATGGCGATGGTGGCGGTAGCGGTGGTGGTGTATGAGCATTTATCATAGCCGATGATGATGATGATGAAGATGATGGTCCACCATTGTTGCTGTTGTTGTTAATACCAAAATGAAACGATCCGGTTTGTAAATCTTTTGAATTTTGTTGTTGTTGTTGTCCATTCGATTGATTATTATTACGATTATTAATGAGGAATGTATCATCATTATTTGTTGTCAAATGATTTTGAATTATTGATCCAGAAATTAACGGTAATCGATTAGTTTTGGCTGTCGAAATAGCACCATTAGATGATGATGTGGATGTAGATGCCGACGATGATGATGATGATGATGCTAACATCATCATCAATTGTGTTGCTGCTGTTGTAACTTCTTCTTTAGTTGCTTGTTGTTGTTGCTGTTTGGGAATGTTTTTCGTTAATTTTCTTATATTATGACCAACATCATTAACAGTATTATCAATTTTACATGTTAAATCAATACAATCATCATCATTATTATTATTATTATTGATTATCATTGGATATTGTTGTTGTCGTTGTTGTAAATTTAAACATAAATCACGAATAGATTTTAACATAGATACAACAGTTATTGTACGATCAAATGGAAAATTTACTGTTATATTTATTGGATATAATGATGGTTTTGTTGTTGTTGTTGTTGATTGTTTGATAATAGATTCATTATCTGATCGTAATCTTTTATTATTATTAAACATTGACATCATCATTGTTGATGATGATGATGATGATTCAATCATAGTACCATTCATTATTTCAGATTGATCTGAATTTATTGGACGTTTATGGCCAACAATATTAATTGGTTTTGATAAATTTTCCATTGGTGTTGATAGTGGTGGTGGTGGAGGTGGAGGTAATGATAATGATGATTTAGATTGAATAATCATTTTAGAAAAATCATCAAAACCAAGTATAGAAGATTCAATATTCATAGGAACATAATAATGACCGGATGGATGTAAAGCAAATACTGGTACAAATGATTGATCATTTGTTGTTGTCGTTGTCGATGTTGTTGATGATGATGATGAAATTGATGATAATAATGATGATAATGCTGATAATATTTCATCACTTAAATCACAATGATGTTCATTATTATCATTTTTAATTAATTTTTGTTGTTGTTGTTTATTTGATAAATTTTCGGTTACTGTTGCAGATGAATTGGATTGTTGTTGTTGTTGTTGTTTCATCAAATGTTGTAATCCATTCATCATAATTGTATCAACATAACATTCATCTTTAATCATATTATTACTACTTTGATCCATTACTTTTTGAAAACGTTCTTTAAATTCTTTTTTAAAATGATAACTTTCATTAACAACATTCATTGTTGAAGATGATTGTTTTTTATTATTATTTGTTTGTATTTCCATATCGAATGGTTCCACTTTTGTTATCGGTATTGTTGTTGTTGTTGTTGATGATGATGAAGTGGAATTGAAAAATGATCTAGATATTGATGGTGGCGATCTAGATAATGTCGAGGATAATGTTGATGATGATAATGATGACGATGATGATGATGATGATGATGATGATTCGGTTGGTGATTGTTGTTTAACAGCTGTAGATGAAGTTGAAAGATCATTGTTCGCAAGACTAGATGATGATGATGATTTGATTGATAATTTCAATGTTTTAGGCAGCGATTGTTGTTGTTGTTGTTGTTCGATTAGCGTCGATGATTGTTGTTGTTGTTGTTGTTGTTGATCATCACAATTATTAACAGAATTATCAATATGATTCAATAATTTATCATTTAAATCATCATTCATATCATAATTTTCGGCCATATATTTTGTTATGACAGCTATTTTTTTAAAAATTTTAAACAATAAACAATCAAGATTAAGAATTAAATCATTCATAACTAACTTACCAATAGATAAATTATCAAATTTTTGTTGAATATGATTAATCATCATTTTTGAATTAAATAATGATTCTGATGATTGATTAGAATTATTAATTGATGATGATGATAATAATAAAAATTGTTGCTTAAAATCATTAAAACAATGTTGAAAACCAAGTTGATAATAATCAAAACGATTTTTTATTAATTCATTTCCCATTTGATTTGAATGTTTTGAACAATAACGAAATAATTGATCATTTGTTGTTGCTGTTGTTGTTGTCATCATCATTTTATTATTAATTAATTCATCCTTATGATTAATATTATTATGATCAACATCAATATTATTATTATCATTATTATTATCATCATTGATAATAAATGGACGACAAATATCTAATAAATGTTTAATATATTTGATTGCCATTTCAATGATTTCAGTTTTTTCAATACGACCACGATTTTGTAATGATGATGATTGCTAATTATCAATAATAAATCAATAATTAATTATTTGAACAAAAAAAATAATAATAATGTTTACCTTTTTAATGAAAGAATTGGGTATTAAACGGCTGAGATCAGTTAGACAATTATTCATACGATCACGGCGTCGTTTTTCAATCATACGATGTGAATATGGATCCTGTTTTTGAATATTTTTTATTATTAAAGAATCCAATCTAATTATAATTTTTTTTGTAATTACCCTTGTTGATTGTTTTTTACGTGCCGGTTGATTATTATTATTATTATTATTAGTGGTAGCATTAGTAATTGTATTTGTCGAAGTAGTTTGTCCCTGATGTTGATGTAACATTGATTGTTGATGATTTAATGATGAATGATGATTATTATATTGATGATGATGATTATGATGAAGATTTGGATTGACCATTTGAACAGTATTAGCAGCAGCAGCAACGGAAGCAATCGAATTTGATGATGATGTAGTTAACATCATTTGAAATTCTGTAGCCGCCGTTGATGATGATAATGTTGTTGTTGTTGAAATTGATCCATTTGATGATGATAATTTACCATCAATATCGATTGCTGCTAATGATGATGATGATGATGATGGTGATGTTTGTTGAGCAGTATTATTAATCATTGTTGATCCTAAAAATTGTTGCTGATGATTATTATGTTGATGTGGATGATGTGGATGTTGAAATTGTTGCTGTTGTTGTTGTGAATTGATCAACATTTTGGATAAAATATTTGTATTTGAATAGAATCGATGTTTATGATCAATATGGGCCAACGATGATGATGATGATGATGTAACATTTGTTTTGATTGGATAATAATAATCTTCTTCTTCTGGTTGTTTTTGTTGGATAATATTTGATGATGTTTCAATTACTTGATGATTATTTAAACAACAATAATTATTATTACAATTAATCAAGTTCATATTCCAAATCTAATGATGATGATGATGATCATCATCATCTTATTTTAATTATTATCACAATTTAACTTTTTTTAAATCCAAAAAAAAAAAGAATTGACATTTAATCAATAATGTTGCTATGCAATTTTTTTGTTAATGTTATTGGTATGTTTGTTTGTTAATTTGTAACTCTATACTTGTTGCATTCGAAATAACGTTTGTTTGTTTGTTACATTGATTCTCATTGATTCATTCATCACATATCATCATCATCATCATCATTATAATTTGGATTTGATACAAATATTTTCTTCATTCTTCATCTTATTTTTTAATAAGGATGAGGGGGTTAACAATAATAATAATAATAATAATAACAATATTAACTTTTTTGATGATCAATAATAATAATTTGTTGATTATTGATTATTATTAATTGAAATTTAAAATAACATTCTATTTACAAATAATAATAATAATNAGTATTATTAATCATTGTTGATCCTAAAAATTGTTGATGATTATTATGTTGATGTGGATGATGTGGATGTTGAAATTGTTGCGGTTGTTGTTGTTGTTGTGAATTGATCAACATTTTGGATAAAATATTTGTATTTGAATAGAATCGATGTTTATGATCAATATGGGCCAACGATGATGATGATGATGATGTAACATTTGTTTTGATTGAATAATAAGAATCTTCTTTTTCTTTTTCTTCTTCTTCTTCTGGTTGTTTTTGTTGTTGGATAATATTTGATGATGTTTTAATTACTTGATGATTATTTAAACAACAATAACTATTATTACAATTAATCAAGTTCATATTCCAAATTTCTAATGATGATGATGATCATCATCATCATCTTATTTCAATTTTGATTATTATCACAATTTAACTTTTTTTTAAATCAATAAAAAAAATTGACATTTAATCAATCATGTTGCTATGCAATTTTTTTAAAAAAAAATGTTATTGGTATGTTTATTTGTTAATTTGTATCTCTATACTTGTTGCATTCGAAATAAAGTTTGTTTGTTACATTGATTCTCATTCATTCATTCATCACATATCATCATTCATTATAATTTGGATTTGATACAAATAATTTCTTCATTCTTCATCTTATATTTTTATTTTTTAATAAGGATGAGGGGGTTAACAATAACAACAGCAACAAATTTAATTTTTTCGATGATCAATAATAATAATTTGTTGATTATTGATTATTATTAATTGAAATTTAAAATAACATTCTATTTACAAATAATAATAATAATAATAATAATAATAATAATAATAATGATTATAAATTGATTAAAATAAGAAGAAAAAACAAGGGGAAAAAAACAGGGGAAATGACTTACCACTTTTATTGTCAATTTGTATTGATAATGTGGGTGGTGATGGTGGTGGTGGTGGTAGTGGAAATTGATGATGTCGATAATTTTTTTGTTGTTGTTGGTGGTGGTGGTGGTGATGATCCATGATCATCATGATCATCATTATCATCATCATTTAAAACATTTTGTTTAAGCTGATAGTAACGAAATAAATAAATAAACGGAAGTGAATATTTTAAAATGAAAAAAAAACTAAACAAAAATTCAAAAGAAAATCAAACGTAATGGATTGAATTATTTAACAAAAAAAAAAATTTTTTCGAAAAAAAATTCATTGGAAATCTGTAAAATCTGTTTCTGATCACAATCAAAAAACAAACAGATTCAATCATTTAAAAAAAAAATCACTGAAAAAAAAGTTTCGATTGCAATCGGCATCAAACTGATGTTTGTTTGTTTGTTTGTTTTTTTTATTTAGAAAAAAAATTTAAAATTCAAAAAATAATAATAATCTCTTCATACAAATCATCATTTGATGATAATGATACGTTCATTAATGTAGAAACAGAAAATCGAACCGAATCTAATCTTATCAATCTTTTAATAAATTAACATCATCATCATATGATAATTGTGAATGAAGTTTTAGTTTGATTTTTTCGTTTTTTGGTTTAGTTAGTTACGATGAATAAAAATGATAAAAACTTAGGAATCTCTTTATATATCGTCGAATCATATATTGCATCAAGGTCAATCAAATCAATCAATCGATTCTGCAAAATTGATTGATTCATTGATTCGAATATATCATGATTAACACGTGTTCAATTATTTTTAATTATGAAATAACATTTACTTACATTAATCGTAATTTTTGAATTTGAAAAAACATTAGTGAGTGCGTGTGTGTTAGTGTAAATTTATTCGTTGTAAAATAATCAGATCATTATCATCATTATCATTTTTATTTGGACAACCGAAACAAATAAATAATTCACAGATTGATTTTGGTTGATTGTGTCACAGCATTTTTGAATTATCGAGAAAAAACAAAATAAATAATGAAAAACAACAAAACGGACAACAGAAACAGAACAACAGAAAAACTGAATTTTTTTTTTGAAAAAAAATTCACCAAAAAAAAGGGTTAAATCAACACAGACAAAACAATAAATGATGAATGAATTGACAATTCAATTCTAATTTGAATCTTTCTTTCTTTTCGTTTTTTTTGTATAATTGAATAGATTGAGAATTTGAATTTAGTTATTGTGTTTGGTTATGCTTCAAATGCTGTGCTGGTTGTTTTAGTTGTGCGACAACATTAAGAATAAGGATAACGTTTGTCTAGTTTATTTCACATTGTCGTCGTCGTCGTCGTCGTCTTCGTATGGTTGGCCAATATATTAAGCGGTGAATAGACACAGTGTGTGTGTTTTTTTTTGTTCTTTGCTCTGCAAAAGTCTCGACGACGGCGGCAAGCAAAATGGGAATTATTGGTTAAATAATGGTTGATGGTGGTGGTGGTGGTGGTTATATAAGTGTTTGTAGTTGGCTGGGATATATTTTCCCATCATCATCCGACGAGAGAAAAAAAAAATTTCAACTAAACTGAACCGACGTCGTCGTCGTCGTCATCATTATTATTATCATCATCAACATCAACGACGAGAAATAAATAAATTTAAAAAAAAGTCGGTCGTCGGTCTGCTGGCTCCCAGTCTATTTGTATGTGTGTATGATGTGTGATTGGCAATCGGTTTCGGGCGCAATATTATATATCCGTATGTATAAATGTATGTGTGCATACATAAATCAGACGACATCACTATAGTCATGAAAGAAAGAAAAGAAGAAAAAAAAACAGAAAACCAGAAAAGGCAACCAGATATATGACGCCTGTACCGTGTATATATGAATACAGTGAATGATGATGATGATGATGATGATAGTGTTTGGTGGAACAATCTGAAGACGCCTTACATTCAATGATATTTTGAATGTTTGATCATGATATTCTGGGTTTTTTCTTTCTTTTTTTGTTGTTGATTAATCATTAAAATGATTTTAAATTAAAGTAAATTTTATTGGTAGAAAAAAAAATTACAAAATTCCGCTTCCATGTGATTTCAAAAAAGAAAGAGAGATTCTTAAGAATAACATGTTTGTTTTCGTTTATTTTTGGGTAAACATTAAAGCAATATCCAAGTATCTGGTTTATTAAAAAAAAAATATATTGTCTGGCTTGGTATTTCTTCTGGAATTATCTAATAAATTTTTTTTTTGTTTTTTGTTTGGTCGGAAATATTATTATTATCCACGTGATCATACAAACACCATTACCATTACTACTACTACTACTATTACTAAGTTCAGTTATTATCATTATTGAAGATGATACTGATGATGATGATCATTTAATATGTGTGTGGGGGGATTCATGGATATGGATGGCGTCCAGACAAGGGCGTAATTTTATTATTATTATTATTATAGACCGGCTATAAGTGTGTGTTTGTGCATAGTACATATATTTCAGTATAGTTAAATACATCTGTATAGAGAAAAAGAGCGAGCGAGAAAATACCCACATCAGAGATAATGCCAACTAAAATGATAAAAAAAAATTAAAGCAAATATAAAAAATAAAGGAAACAAACAACAACAACAACAACGTGATCTTAATGGCAGAGCATATACAGTATGGAGAAAGCATGGAGCCAAAGAATAGAAGGAAATATTATTGAATGATGATGATAATGATCAGTATTTGGATTTATATTAACAAAATATAAATTGATTTGATAATGATTTAAGCATGTACAAAACTGATAATCATCATTATCATTATAATATTGCAATCCTATAAATGAATGAATACACAGTGTTGTTGTTGTTGTTATGTTTGGAGAATGGGGTGGATGGATAAATCTGCACCCATTAATCGATTAATGATATAAAGAAGAAAAAAAACATCATTCATTTTGTTTTTTTCTCTTTTCTATCCATTTTTAGTTAAACGCGTGACTTCTACACAATCATTCTATCTATCTATATTGTGAATGTACGTATGAATGAATGGAAATAATATAAATGTAGTGGGTGGATGGATGATGGGATTTTTTTTTTGTTTTCTGAGAATAACTCTATAGTTGTTGTTGTTGTTGTTTTTCTATTTTTATTTAATTTTTATCAACATGATGAACGTGTCTCTCTTTGTTTTTCTACTATTACAATGTTATTTTGAATGAATGAAAAAACAAAACAAG